GGCTGCTGTCGCCTGGAAGCAGCGCCCCGCAGCCGGCGAGTGCGCTGGCACCCAGAGGCCGCTCCTGCAGACAAAGGCCCCGGCTTCCGCTAGCTCCGGCTCAGGCCAGCCATCTCTCACCCCGACTCCTGCCTCGGTCAAACAGAAGCTGCGCAGGACTCCAGAGCCCGAGCTTAGGCCTGGGCTGAGCCGCCTGGGAGGTGGGGAGGCCGGGGCCCCAGCTGCAGCACTGCCACAAAGGGAGGGTGCCCAGGCAGGGCGCCTCTGCCACGCTTTTAAGTTAATTCGGGGTGCTGTCCCCGAATCAGTCCCGGTCCAGATCAGCTCCAGGAGTCTGAGAAATTCCACATTCCAGACCTGCAGCCAGGACTGGAAGAGGGACTCGGGCCACAGCTTCACCTGTACAGTGGTGCGGCTCCTGCTTCCAAAAAACCACGACAATTTCTTCAGATGTTTTCTTTATTCTTAAAATGTGCACAATTATAGTTTACTTAAATACAAAATGTCCACTTTCTTTGCAGGTAAGAAATTTCACTAACATTTCCATGTCAATTGGCTTTTTAATCAAAATCTTTGCATTAAAAATAAATAAACATTTAAATTACCGAACTATTATATCATTAGTCTCACAATACTTAAAACTTCAGGAAACACCTTGTGTGAGCCCAGGAGAGGTACAGGGGACTGGGCCAGACCCTGCCCTGCCCACAGTGAGCCCTGGGAGGGGTGCCCCCAACTGCAAGGTCAGCCCCGCGGGGCGCAAGAACCCACTTCCCTGGGAAAGACTCATCTGCCGGGGCGGCTCACTGCCTGTGGGGCTCGCTGCCTTCAGTAACCCGGGCACAAAACAGCAGTCCACAACAAAGGGCCCTAGGGATTAGAGAGCATCAAACAGGAAGCAAGTAGGCAGCAGCCAGGCCCCTCGCCCTCGCCCTGGGCAGCAGCTCCCTGCTCCTCCTCCTCCTGCTTCCCCCTGGCTATTGGGGAGGCCAGGCCAGCGACAGCTGTCCATGTGTCTCACGCAGCAGCAAGGACAGCAGTGTTACAGGCGCTTAACGACACCCACGTGACCGTCTTTAGGAAATATGGAAGTAAAATATAAAACAGACAGTGGAGAAATATTTACAACTGTCCTGGTCACACACGTGCGCAGGTGCACACAGGCGGGCATGCGTTTGCGTGTAACCCACTAACCCCCCCAAGGAAGCTTGTGGGACAAGCCACGGGCACAGAAGGTCCAACAGGAGTCCTGGGAATGTGTGTTTTGCTCTGTGGAAGTCTGCAGAGGCAAACTTCACTTGATCTTAGCCAAAAGGCCGAGAAGCAATTGCAGAGGCAAACTTACCAATGAGTTGCTCTGGGTTTCACAAACGTGTTCAAACTATTAGGGGTCAAAGAGTCCGCATGGAGGCCGGCCTGGGGGGACCTTCTCCCCTGCTGGGGCCTCCTGGGGCTCAGGATGGAGGAGGAACCCAGAACACAAAGGGGGTGCCCTGCAGGTCTCCTGGGGACTGTGCCCACACAGACCCTGTCAGCCACACTGGGGTGGCCCTCATGCCTCTGCCACCAGATAAACAAGGCAATGCCACCCCCCTGGCTCTTCCAAGCCCAAGTTTTCTGTCCACAGCCCTGGGGTCAATTCTGAGAGAAAGCAAAGCCACAAAACTCCCGGGTCCTACAGGCCTCCTCTGCCTCTGCACCTGAGTGCCCACGGCCACAGCTCATGCAGGAACAGCCAAGCAGCGCAAGGCATCGATGGCAAAGCCAGGTCTGCATTGCATCTGCTTTGAGGCACCAGAAAAGGCCACTGTGCTGCGGTTCTGCCATGTTGCCACACAGCCACCTCCAGGGACTTTCCGAGCACAAAGCCAGCCCTGAAGGAGTCTCAGTGGAGCGCCAGTGGGTCTCTCTGTTCCTCCCTTCCTCACAAGGGATGCGCAGAAGGCTGGGGCGTGGAGCACAGGGGCCACGGACAGGTGCCAGAGACAGCGTTGCCATAGGACACAGCAGGCCACATGGCGGGTCCAGGCCCAATCCCTGATCATGAACATTAAAGCTGCAGGGGTGCGGGGAGGTGAGCAGGGTGGTCCAGGCTCCTCTGCCGCCCGCAGCCCTGGCCCCTGGCAGGAGGGCACTACACGGCAGGGTGGTAGAGCCGAACTTTCCACCGCTTGGACCGCACACGGAAGAAGAAATACATGAGCATCAGGAACAGGGAGGAGGCCACGTACAGCACCACACAGAGGCTCATGTCCAGGCTGGAGAAGCCGATGCCCAGGAAAGGCGCAGCTGCCTCGGCCTCCTCACGCACCCGGGGGCCCCGGGGACTCTGGGCTCGTGCGTCCAGCCGGTAGTGTGGGCTCCCAGAGAGGCCAGTCCTGAGGCCCGGCTCCTGGGGCAGCCGGAGGCTTGATGCGTCCTGTTCCCCTCTGCCATCCCCGGTGTCCCCCAGGTCCACCGAGTACGTGTCTATCAGGTTGCTGCTGCCGTAGTGCTGCTTCAGGAATGCCAGCACTTGGCCCTCCTGCCAGCTGTCCAGGCCCTTGATCTCCTCATGGCAGGCGGGGCAGAGGTCTGGGGTGGGCCATGGAACCTTTGGGAACTTGGGGTCCTCGCTCAGTTGGCCTAGGAGGAAGGGACAGGTCACCTTGAGGAAAGGCCCCTGCTCCACGCCCCAGGCTGCCCTCCACCCGCTTGCACTTGGCCTCCAGTGTCCCCCCGAGGCACCACACTTCCTGTGCAGCCTCCAACCCAGGAGAGGCCCCACACCACCACCCAGTGAATGCCCCCAGCCTCCTCCCCCGCCTCAGGCCCCACTGCTCTGGCTGCTGGGACGCCATCCACAGATGTTGTGGCCCCCCTGGTCCCATGAGGGCTCCGCAGCAACTTGGGGGGCTGCAAGCCACAGCCAGATGCACTGAGCCACACCAGCGCCAGATGCAGGCCTGGCTCCAAGGCCCAGAATCGCCCTAGGTGCACCTGGGACTCGGGTCATAAACCTAGCCAGCACCTCTGGCAGGCATGGACAGCCCTGCACTTGGCCACTCTGCTGTCCAGGCCAGAGCGACCCCACAGCTTGGCTCTGGGTGGTTTTGGACCCACTGCCTGGGCCTGTTGCTGTCCCCTCCCTCCCAGGACGTGGCACTGGGGAGGAGCCATCTCACAGCCTGAACAGGGCTCCATGCAGGGCCAGATGGGCCTGGCCCTTGACGGCTGGACATGTCTGGCGCTGGGCGCTGTGTCAGGACAATAGCAGGAAGGGCTGCTGGGCGGAGAGCAGCGTGGACATGGTGAGACACCCCTAGGCCTGGGTGGCCCTGGGCCGAAGGCACAGCCAGAACTCAGGGTTCCCAAACCCACAGGCCCAGGAAGACCTCTCGGGGACGGGGGCGGGGGACACCCGTACTTTGCCTCAGGAGGCCACAGGCATAGCCTTGAGACTCAGCGGAATAGGGACAGCAAATCCCAGACACAGGGGTGAGGCAGTTCTCCGTGCAAAGAACCAATTTTCTTTAGTGCTTTAGCTGTAATATGTTTTATAATACAGGGATTAAACGGAGACCAGGAGTCTAGTGGCGTTTTACCATTCATCTCTATTAAATTTATTTCTCAGTGGAATTATTTTTAAGCCTAATTTTAATCTGCCATTGATTTTGGAATAGTTCGAATTACTTAACTGTAAGAAAATGTTTGTGACCTATTTAGCTTTTTTATTTTTTCCGCGCGCGCACGCACACACACACACACACACACACACACACACACACACACACACACACACACACACACACACACACACACACACACACACACACACACACACACACACACACACACACACACACACACACACACACACACACACGTTTTCCCCTCCTTGGTCCTAGGGATAGAATCCAGGCCCTTGCACGTGCTAGGCAAGGGCTCCAACACCGAGTTATACCCTCAGTTCAGTGACAAGCTCTCAGTAAGGTGTTCGGCTGGGCTCAGACTTTCAGTCCTACTGCCTCATCTTCCCAAGTACCTGCGGTTACAGGTAAGGGCCACCAAGCCAGGCCCCATTTAGTTTTTTAAAACAAAACCTCTGAGAGGCTTTCTTTATACAGTGGTACTTTGGTTCACCAACTTAATTCTTTCCAGGATCCTAGTCACAAACTCAAGGGAGTCAAATTCAACAGTGGCGTTCAATGTCAAGGTTATGCGGAAATCTGACTCACTTCTCGCCCAATCCAGTTTGTGACCAAAATAACGGAAGGAATTTATGAACTGAGGTACCACTGCAGTCTGAAAATAGATTGAAAAGATATTTCAATTCTTGAGCTTGGGATGTAGCTCAGTGGTGCCACACCTGCCTGGTAAGGGTGAGGTCCTGAGTTCAATCCCTGGTGCGGTGGGTGGGGGGTGGATATTAAAATTCTTTATGAGAACTAATTATTATTGCCAAGGATATAGCTCAGTGGTTCCACTGTCTGCCTCACAAGCACAAGGTCCTGAGTTCAAGCCTTGGTACCAAAAAAAAGAGAAAAACTTTTCTTTTTTTTTTTTGAGACAGGGTCTCCCTATGCCATTTGGGTTGACTTTGAACTTACAGAGATTTTCCTGCCTCAACCTCCTGAATGCTGGTATGATAGGCATGTACCACCACACCTAGCTGAAGAACTATTCAGTCCTAAGTTTTCCAGTGTCAAAATTATTTGGGGGTCCAGCAGGCAACCAGAGGGTATGTCCAGGGCAGAAAGACCCCAGAGTGACAACAGGGAGAGCAAAGATGTGGGACTGAGAGAGACCACCAGCTACACACAGCAGGCTGTGGCAGGAGGTGCTGGGGGTGCCACTGCTGCCGGCCTCCTGTCCCTTCCCAGGGTTAACATTGCTTACCTGCCAGGCGGCTGTTCACGGCATTGTGCCTCCTCCAGAGCCAGAGCACAGCCTGGTCCGCAGTCTTCACAGTGTCCAGGGACTCCGCGGCCATCTCCTCGAAGTGCTGGCCGCACTCCCGGCAGCCAAAAAAGGTCCGCATGTAGCTGCGCATGGACTGTAGCACGGCCTGCGGGTCCTCCTCAAACCCTGGGGAGGGGAGCCGCTGGGACCATGCACTGACACTGCCAGGCCCCCAAGGGCACCGAGGGCTGCTCCACGGTGCCCACTCCAGACAGGAGCACAGTGCTGGCATGGGGACAAGCTGGAGGAGCCCCAGGGCTCAGACAGTGTAGCCTGTGGGTGTGAATCCCACCCGCCAGTCCCTCAGCAGTCCTGCCTCAGCCTCCTGGCCATAGTGGCCTAACCCCAAGGGATTTCTTAGATTGGGCCACCAGGCTCTGAGACCCACAGAACTTGCCTAAGCTGCAAGGGGTAGCAGGTGGCCAGGGCCTGTGATCCCAGCACTCTGCAAGGGTGATAGGAGGATTCAAACTTTGAGCCCAGTATGGGACAGACAGTGACTGAGCAAGACCCAGTCTCACAGTGAAAAAGAAAAAGCAGAGTGGGGGTAGCGTAAAGGGCTCCACCTCCTACACGGAGGTGGGGTGCGAATCGGGCACCCTGAGCAGAAAGGCACAGCACCGGCTCACAGCACGATGCTCCCAAGGAGCTAAGGGGCCTGGAGTGTGGGTCTCGTGCCAGCACCAGAGGGCAGCACAGTGATAGCACAGGCGCTCCGGGAGGCCCCAGTGGGTCCTCCGTGTGGCGGAAGCGCCGGCTGCCTGACCCCGGTACCTCTGCCACGCACTCTGGCTTGGGCCTGGGGCCTCCCCAAGAGCCCACAACCTGGACCCTAATCTCTGAAGTGGGCAAGAACCATAAACCCTACCTGGGGAGGATTAGCGCGACTGCTCTTTGGCGGATGGGGTTTAGCGTGCAGTAAGGAAAGAAAACCTCCAAGACTTAATCCGCACAGTCCTGACCTAATTCCTTGGGCACAAGACTCCGCTGGGGGAAGAGCGCCGTGCCTGACAGCAGGCTCTGGCACTGCTGCCCTTGAAGTCAGCGACCTGGCGTCCAGGCTGGCACAGCACCAGCCCCAGGCACCTCTCCTCGCGTGTGTGTCCGTGTGTGCACACGCGGATGTGCACGGGCCCAAGAGTGAAGTGTGAGCTCCTCCTTTCCCCAGGCGCCGGCCAGGGGCTGGACGCAGGGCGCTGCTGCTCCCCACACTCCCTCCCATCTGCTTCCCTCAGGGAAGGGGCACTGCTCCCTCCCTTCTCAGTCTGGCCCCCAGCTCCTCTCCCGCTGCAGGCCCAGAATCTGGGCTGCTCTGGACGCCTCTTCTGACCCACTTGCCTGGTGGGAAGCTGGGCCAGCTGAGGGTGGCAGCAAAGTGGGACCCAGCATCCCCCAGGCTTGGAGCAAGCAGAGTGCATTGTGGGTAAAGGCCCTGTCAAGGATTCACGATGCCACTGAACAGCTGCTGGCGGTGTGTGAGTCACCGACTATGCTCTGGCCTCCCGTTAGTGCTATTAGGTGGGAAGATGAATGAGAAGTACAGAGATCCCCGTCCCAGGCTGGCCTCAACCTTGATCTCCTGCTGAGCCGGGCAGTTCTGGGGCTGGGCCTGGCGCCCCACACTTGGGGTACCCAGGCAGGAGTGGGCCTGTGACATGCTTCCGATGAGCTGAGGCTGCAGGAGCAGGGTGCCCTGCCCTGGCACAGGACTGGCTGGCCGGGTCCTGGTGTAGACCCGTCAGTCCCGAAGCGGGCTCCTGACCCAGACAGAGAAGGCTGCTCCACTCACAGTGCTGTCACACAGCAGCAGGGAGCTGACACACCGCCGACAGGCTCGCTTATTCCTCTCTTTTCCCAAGGGCAGTTCCTGGCCAGTGTCCTGTCCTGTGGGAGCCTGGACTGAAGAGGTGTACAGTGCACACAGCCACAGGCAGGCGCAGCACAGAGGAAGGACACTGCGCCACCCGTGCTGCTCACCTGTGCCGGCCAGCGCATCCGGCTGGGTGGAGGCCTGGACCGTCAGGGTGTGGAAGAGCTTCCAGAGGGAGCACGGGTAGCCCCTCAGCTCGGGGCGGCTTCCTTGACACCCCACCCACCTCACTCGGCTGGGGAGGAAGATTCCGGAAATCTGGGGAAAAAAGAACAGGAGGCTACAGGGAGAGGCAGACCGACTTTGGATGCCCTCGTCCTGGCTGGGTGGCGGCAGGTGCTGAGGACCTGTGACTCTCAAAGCCCTTCCCGGCACCGGAGATCGCACCTCTCGCCCAGCAGCCTAGACGAACACCAGGCAAAGTGAGAAGGCAAAGTCTGCCTACTAAAGCTCTCTCTGAACACAGAAGGCGGGCCGTCCTCTCAGGCCCTGGGCAGGAGGGATGGACTCCCTGTGTCTCGGTATGCCAGCCCTGGAGCGCAGGCAAGAACCACCTTTTCCTCAGTTAGGCTGAATTATGAGAAGCACTGCGAGCAAGAGCAATGGCAGTAAAAGCACTGCGCAGCGCGGGTCCTCGGCCAGCGGCAGGGAGCGGGCGCACTCCATCAGCAAGCTCAGGAGCAGCGCCTGGGGAGACGGTCACCACAGAGACAACCCCAGGCTCCTGAGAAGCCAGGCTGGGATGCGGCCTCCCTCACCCTGAGGGGAAGAGGCCCTAGGGTGGGAGGCATGGCACCTGCTCAAGGCAGAGCTCAGGCAAAATGACAGTGGGACAGAGTCCCCATCAGAGCTGGGGTTTCCTTCCCAACACCGAGCCCCTTCTGGTGTGACAGGCGATTCCCGAGGAAGAACAAACCAGGCACGGAGCCCTGACACGTGCCTGAGAAGACCCTTCTCCCAGGGAGCTGCTGAGCCCAGGTGAGGGGATGCAGGCTGTTGCCCAGACAGGGGCAGTGAGGGCTGGCAGCCAGGCCAAGGATGACATATGGGCAGGTATGGCTCCCTGTCGCCCCTGCAGACTCAGTCCTGAGCCCAGGAGGAGAGCGTGGGCTAGGCAGGGACCACTGCACACGTGGGGCTGGGCTCACCCGCATTTTGTTGTTGACCAGGTCCAGGACAGCATTGTAGGGGATCCTGTCCAGAGGGAGGGTGGCCAGCCACTCCTGCAGCGTCACCAGGAGCTTCCTGACGGGTGGCCGGCCAGGAAACAGCTGTGTGAGGAGGACCCTCCCTGAGAAGCTGTTGGGCTCGCTTGGGAGTCCACGGGGGCAGCTGAACCCCGGCAGACGCCCAGCCCCACGTAGCCTCCAGAAACGGACTGGACTTGGGCTCCCCCAGGACGGGGCTCCATGAACCACAACTCCTCCAGCAGGAGGTGGGAAAGGAAGCCCTGAGGGCAGACACCTGGCCAGCACCCTGCCCTGTGCCCACTGACACCAGGCAGCCACTGCAGTGAGACTACAGGTCATCACAATGGTCGGGCCCACTGGCCTCTGACAGCACAGCCTGCCCCCACCCCAGCTTCCTCGCCCAGCCATAAAACTGCTGCCCATCCACTGAGGTGTGCAGCCCGCTCTGTCTGCTCTGAGGAGCTGCGACCTGATGCCCCGTGCTCACTGCCACGGAACCACGGCTGCCATGGGGACCTTCCATCCAGGCTGCAGCCCACTGACAAGGGGCCAAAAACAATGTTATTTCTAACAAAGCTAAATGTGCAGTTTTGTCTATGTGGGTATAAAGTGTCATTATGGATTTGCCAAAATTAAATTTGTCTTTAGACACTGTGCAAACTTTAGAACAACTACTCAGAGGAACGCATTGTCCTGCCTCAGGAAGCAGCTACCCTCATGCGGGTTAAGCCTAAAGTGCCACAGTCAGCAGGATGGGCCAAGGGAGGGAGGGTCCCAGACCCAGCCACGCTGCTTGTGACAGCAGCACGGACAGGCCAGCAGGGCGCTATTGGGAAAGAGGGAAGCCTGCAGACTCCTCTCCTCCCTGAACTTGACCAGGCCCACACATTCCCAACCCTGACTGCATGGCTCACTATTCCCCAAGACATGTTTTTTTCCTCTGTGGTTCAAAACAGCACCAAACACAGAGCCACTGCTGTCCACAGGGGACTTTGCGGCTTCTCCTGTAACCAGCAGCAGGAGCAGAGGGCCAGGTGCAGGTCGGAGGTCCCAGAGGTCAGAGGTCAGAGGGCCCCAGCCCAGGCCAGGCTGGCCCAGGGCAGCGGATGGACCGCCTCTCCCCACCTGACCAGCAATGTGCTCTCGGCCCAGTGGGGACAGGAAGCTGTGACTGTGCACCCGGGGCCCCATGATGCCAACACCGCCCGCTCTCTGGAGCACCTGCTGGCTCCACAAACAGCCCACCAGGAAGCTGGAGGGTGGCCAGGCCATCCTCCGAGGTGCCTGAGCGAGCGCTGCCCAGCCTCCTCCCTCCACTCCAAGTCCTGTAAGGCTTTCCCTGCATGGCCTGTGCAGGACCGCGAGCCCCTAGCTCCCTCCCCACAGGGCGGAGCTCCCCAGGGCCATGCCCAGCCCGAGACCATCCCTTGCTCACCCCCAGTGGACTCAGGCCCTTGTGCGGTGCGTGAAGGCCCAGAACCCCTCCCTTGACACCTCTGCACCCACTCCAGGGCCCTCAGAGCACCCCAGCTGGGCACACGGGGCACCTGTGCGGGCCTGGGTCGCCAGAAGAAGGGGTATCTATCTCGCTGAACCCCATGGCGTCGCGCCCTCGGCCAGGGCCCCCGCACCTTGGCGACGATCGTCACGAAGTCCCGGAGGGTCTTCAGCTCGGCTCCGGCCAGAGACCTATGGGCGGCCAGCTCCCCCCGCAGCAGGTAGTGCAGCCCCGACTCCAGGTCGGCTGTGTACAGCTTGGCCCTGGGGGACAGGAGTCAGGAGCCGCCCACCCAGCACTGTAGGCCTGCCCCTCCCCTGGGGTTTCCAGGGTGGCAGCCGGCCATGGGGGCAGACACTCGGCTCAAGGGACACTTACCTGTCAAATTCTCTCCAAACCACAACTTCTGGGCTTTCTTCTTTGTTAGGCTTTTCGGGCAGGGAAAGTGATTTTTTCCTCACATGTGGCAATGACTTCAAATAAGAGGAAAAAAAGGATCGGAGAGGCTTCGCACTGTGGGGAAGGAGAGGAGAGTTGGGGTGTCTGAGGGCTGGGGAGCGGTTGGTCTTTCCCAGCACATCACAAGGGCGTCTGTCCCCGCCTAGGGAAGCGCTCCAGCCCCCACCCCATCGACTGGGGCATGTGGCGGGGCTGTGCGAAGAGGTGGCAGTGGCAACATGGGACCCTTCCCCCGGACCCACAGCTGATCGCTGGGTGGTTGTCTCCTGGCCGGACCCTAAGATATCTGCAAAGCTGGTTTGAGCACCTGCCAAGATGAGCTTTGCCCCACTGTGATCCCCACATAGCCTGAGCCCCCTACTGACAGCCTGCAATCTGCCTGCTCAGCAGGCATCTGGCGGCCACGGGGAACAGGAGCCCCCCTGATCCCCTGCAGATCCCACTGCTGGCTGAGGTCACAGGCTGAGGAAGCCGCGGAATGGAACGCAGGGCTCCCAGAGCTGGCACTCACTTCTGAAGTGAGCACAGGCCAGCAGGGCCCTGTGCTGGGAGGCGGACACGGGCTCCCCTGATGCTGCACTGCGGGGGCCACCTCCGCAAGGTGTCTGAGGCTGTGCTTTTTCCACAGCACAGACACCTAGAGAACCGGAGTTTCAGGGCAGGACACACATGTTATCACTTCATGGAGTGCCAGACGGTGCCCCAAGAACTGCCACGCATGTGCTGCTGAGTCAGCACATCCCGATGCTGCCGTGGACCCAAGACCTGGGTGGTGGCTGGAAGGGGTGGCCGGACAGGCTGGGTGCACAGACCTCGCCCTACAGCCCTTCCATTCCCCCTTCCCCAGCCCTACCGGGCTGCAAGGCAAAGGTCACACAAGGTACCCTCTTACGGGGTCAGGCAGGCCCAGGGGGACCACGGGCCACTCTGGGCATGAGTTTGCTATCTAGAAACCCTGGAAAACCCAGCCAAAACTGTGAGTACTCTGGGCTGCATCAAAATAAAGCCGAGAGGCAGCACAGGCCCAGGGCTCCCTCGGACTCAGCCTGGGACTCTCCTGGTCCTGGCTCCAGGGAGCTGGGAGTGTGTGTCCCCACCCCACCCATGCCATGCCCATACTTACACATGAATCAGCCCATGGGAGCCATTGGGGTGGATCAGGTAGCAGGAAGGCACCGCAGCCACGCCGAGCTTCTCCAGCACAGCCCTGTCCCCGTTCAGCACTCTGCTTACCACGATGTTCTCATAGGGAATCAGGTCCAAGATCACCTGTGCACCGAGGAAAGCCTTGCTGCTCTCACCAAAGACAGTGGCTCATTGCCAGGGGCCTGTGACTCCATGGGAAGATGGAAACTGGGACCCCAAACCCGTGCATCAGGCATGGCCGCCGCCCACCCACACTCCCATCACCTGCAGCAGCAGCCAGTACCTCTCGTCCCACATAGGAGCTGTTGCTTTCAAACAGCACAGCCACATAATGGCCCCTGCGGCTGCCGAGGAGGGCGAGGATGTCCCTGGGCCTTGCAGGAGAGAAGAGCAGCTCTCAGGGGGCTCGGTGACTGTGAGCTGCACCACATGCCAGCACACGTGTCACACTCAAACATGGACCATACACACATCACACACCACCTGCACTCACAGTGGGGACAGCGTGGGGACAGCCGTCGCTACTCACGGGGTCGGATCCAGGGCCGGGCAGGCTGGTGGCCAGCTGCCATCTGTGTGGTTCTGCAGGAAGTCGATCATGGTGTGCCTGACCGTGCGGAGCTCCCTGTCGGGCCCTGCCAAGAGCAGCCGGTCATAGCCCAGCAGCCTCCCCACCCAGGGCCCACAGCGGGAGGGTGAAGTCAGCTGCGGGAACCCTGGAGGGCCGGACACTGCCAGTGCCCAAGGCACCGGCCCCTCTCCTGGCCTTGACGGGGCACTGCTTGCCGGGCTCGCTCCCAAAAGTCTGTCTGGTCACCCAAGTTGTTCATGCACTTCTCCAAACATTTTTTCAGCCAGACTGGCGGTGTACACCTGTAATCCTAGCACACCGGAGGCTGAGGCAGGAGATCTGTGTGGGCTACACAGTGAGTTCGAGGCCAATCTGAACTACATATACAGAGTAAGACCTGTCTCAAAAAAAATTTTTTTTTTCAATAAAAAATTTACTTTATGGGCCAGGAATTTAGCTCAGTGGTGCCACTGCCTGCCTCACAAGCACAAGGTCCTGAGTTTGATCCCTGGTACGAAAAAAAAAAAAAAAAAGACCTTTTTTACTTTGAAGCTGGATGTGTCGGTACGTGCCTGTCATCCTAGCACTTCCACCTGGGAGGCTGAGGCAAGATGACTCCAAGTTTGAGCCCAGCCTACACAACTTAGTGACTTAGTGAGACCCTGTCCCAAAATAGAAATAAGAAAAAAAGGCTGAGGATATAGCTCAGTGTGACAGTCCCAATACTCCCCCCACAAACAAGTTCAAAAGAAAAATTTCACTACTCCATTTCCCAAGAAAGGCGAAGCACACAATGAGAACTGAAGGAAATCCTTGCTCAAACTATTCGGGGCTGAACTCCTTACAGAACCAACATGCAGAGGGCCCTGTCTGCTTTGAGGCAAGTTGGCCTAGTGAAGGGGTGACAGTAAGGTGCTTCCGGTCCTTACCTCTGAAGTTTTCTCCCGTTGTAAACTCCTTCGTAAACGCTTTAAAATACTAGAGAGAAAACACCACAAATAAGCACCAGCTGGAGAGGAGGTGTGCACATGCTCAACCCTCAATAACAGGACCACTGGGCCGGGGATGTAGCTCAGTGGTTCCGGCACCCGCCTCACAAGCACAAGGACTGGAGTTCGATCCCTCGTACCAAAAAAAAAAAAACCCAAAAAACAAAAAGAACAGTAACACAACCAGTGCCTGGGCACCAGGGTTCTGAGGGACGGGGATGAGCCATGCTTCTTTGTGTCTCTGTGGACACAGCATCCCTGCCAGGTCCACAAGGGGCTGCGTGAACACCCACCAGGACCTGTTATTTACATTTTCTAACGATGGGGCTGTGGATTCAAACACAGAGGCTGAGACCACAGGCGATTTACAGGCAGCACAAGTCGCTGCCAAGTGTCAGAGGCGAGATGGGATTTTACTCTAGATTTGGGAATGTTTCTGCCAAAGGCACATTCGAGACAGGGAAGGACAAGCCACGAACTGGGCAGTGACCTCCAAACCCCGCCCAGAAAGGGTCAGCAACAAGGATTTGCAAAGGACTCGGCAAAGCAATGATGAGTGGTCGGAAAAGAAAACAGACAAATAGCACTATCAGGCATCTTGGCCACAGGGACACCACACCACGAGCCTCCAGCAGTTCCTCCCGGGCTGGCTGGGGCCTTGGCACAGGGGATACTGCACCCAAGGGTGTGTCCACACCTGCAAGACCTGGGCAGCCCAGACACCGACACGCAGGGCGACTCTGCTGGCATCCAGATTTACAAGCTACCCAGAGCCCACCACCCAGCCCGTCCGCCAGAGCCCGGTTCACACAGCCCATACTGTGTGACCTGCATGAGGCTAAAAGGAGAAACAAAATAGAACATCTGATGCCACCAAACTAGGAAAAGAAAGCAAGAGAAGGCGCTCCAAGGGCCAAAGGGCCATAGGCCTGGCACCATGCAGGGCAGCGCACGCTGGCTGGGCACAGAGCAGCAGGAGCTGGCACAATCCCGGAGGGTCCCAGGACAGCCGCCCTTGGGGGTGAGGCTGGGCATTGTGGGCTCCTCAGAAATGACCCCAAAGGCACCACATGCTTCTAGAGACTGTCTAGCGGGCGGCAGCCATGCAGCCAAAATGCATACATGGATGGCACAGTGGATCTGCACGGCCGGGCTCCCTTCGCCCCCTAGTGGGAGAAATGGGTTCAACCTGGTCCATGGGAGGGTGGGGGTAGAGCCGGGCACTGCACCCTGCAGGTGGGACTCATGCTCAGGTGCAGCATGGGCCCCGCAGGCTGCAGGGCCCGGGAGGTGCGCGAGTCCAGGGACCCAGTGGGGTGGATGGGGGCGCCCTGCGGGGACGCAGGCCAGGGACACATGGAAGCAGCAGAAACACCACCGTGAAGCTCCAGGCAAGAAAAGCCCCTGGCGAGGATGGGCGGCCCCTTACCCGGAAGGTGGGGTAGAAGTGGATGTCATAGGTGCGGCACACCTCCTGGTTCTCTTCTTCTGCACAATCCAGCACAGCAACGCGGATGGCGGCGGCCCAGTCTGAAATGCAGGAGCGAGGCCTTCAGCATGGGGCACTGCACACCACCCCAGGGTGCCTTCGGCTGGGCGGGCAGACAGCTAGCCCCGGCCAGCGGCCACCTGGTCACTACGCGGCACTTCCCCTGTGGCAGGCCAGGGGAGCGAATCTCCCCAAGCTGGATGTGTCCTGCCCCATGGGGGACAGCGGAGCCTGCCGGTTCCTGCTGAACTTGTAAACTGCCCCGCACTGCCGCACTGCCCGCTTCTACTTCAGTGACCCCAATGGCTGACGTGCAGGGGACAGAGGCAGCTGTTGGGTGGGTGCAAGCCCCAGAGACGAGTCAGCCCCCACACACTCACAGTGTGCGCACCGATGCAGCAGGAAAGGAGCACCGTTACATGTCTTCTCCCATTTTTAATTTTTTTTCCCAGTACTGGGGATCGAACTTAGGACCTTGCACTTGTGAGGCAGGTGCTGCGCCACTGAGCTAAATCCTGGCTTTAACTTTTAATCATAGAAAACTGTCCAGCATATAAATAACAGATAAAAACAGAACGCCTCATGTCCCCCAGCTCTGTAGCAATCAGGTCTCACACATGCCTACAGTGACCTCAGGGACAGCACTTCCCCATAAACACCCCACAGTGCCCCCAAATGCAGGACTCTGGGCCAGCATACTGCCCTCTTCTCTGCAGAGCACACGCCTTCCCACAGGCACGTCACACAGCAACCCTAGGGTACACGGCCCTGTGGCTTGGTCTGGTCTCTTTGTCTGAATGGGGGTCCCAGCCATGCACTGTCCCAGGCACAAACCGTCCCTTCTAGCTCTCCAACCTGTGACAGCACCGGACCCTGGCTCTTCTGCACATGGTGCTGAGGTCCACGTTCTTCCAGGCTCTTGTGCCGAGATCACTCTGGGGCTTCCACCAGGGAAGTGACCCTGGCCACCTCTCTCGGTGATCATGACACAAGTGCACGGCAGCCAGAAGGGTGCCTCCCGTCCCTGTCCCTGTCCCCGCCCCTGCCCTCAGGCAGCTTCCAGCACAGCACACAGCACACTTCCAGAGGTAGGTGGGATGCAGGAAATCCCCCTGCCCTCCAGCCCCACTCTTAGAGAGTAACCCGGAGGGCTTCCTTCTAACTGATTCACAGCCTGAGCGTCACACGACTGCATACCACTTGCCTATGCCCGTCTCCAGAGCCCCTGGGACCAGTCCCCAGAACTTCATACACAGGGAGGGTCAAAGGTTACAGAAAAAGATGCCTTTCTCCAGGACGCTGACATCACAGCCCCAGGGATTCACACTCACTGCCCGGGCTGGGGCCTGCCGGGCCTTTCCCCAGGCCCACAGGGTGCTCACTCAAACAGCAAAGCCCACCAGAGGGCACAAGACGCAGGAGCACAGGGCTCAGGTACCCACAGCCGAGTGCCTGAAGCTCGAAACGACTTCCAGCCGCCTTACCATGCTGCCTCCGGAGCTTACAGCTGTGGTCACCAGGACCCAACAGACCCTGCTCACCTGTGTCCTGCCCCAGCCCTGGCCATGTGGCTCGCAGTCCCATCAGGAAGGCCAGGTGTCACCCTGCTGCCACTTGCCACACCTGCTCACATACCTTCCCAAGTCAGGCAGCACTGGGGCTGGGTACACAGCTCTAAGGAGCTCCTGCCTGGTATGCAAGCCCCTGGATTCCATTGCTGGCACCAGCGAGGAACAGACACACCTTTCTTTTCCTTTTTTTCTGGGGGCGGGTACTGATTGAACTCAGGACCTTGCGCTTGCAAGGCAGGTGCAGTGCCCCTGAGCTACGTCCCTGGCCCTACACACCTCTTTCAAACCAAGACCAAAGTCTTCTACTTGAAACCACCGCGTACAACTTTAAATACATGGGAAAATAAACTCAGCAAATCCTCGGTCATAAGTCACACTTCCTGGAGTCTTGGATTGCACAGAGCTGAGGGGGAACAGTTAATACTCCCTCCAATTAGCACGGCAGATGGCAGCGAGCCGGGCAGAGCCGCCTCATGCCATCCCGCGGGCTCTGCAGGCAACTCTTCCCCAGTGACCCAGGCACCCTCCCCCGCCACAGAACCGGCTCCACCCCCCATGCTCCCACTGCCCTCCAGGAGCTTGCATTCCCCCCCCCGCCACAGAACCGGCTCCACCCCCCATGCTCCCATTGCCCTCCAGGAGCTTGCATGACGCAGCTGCACCCACCTTTGCAGCACCTTTTTTTCCCTTTTTTTTCAGTTTATGGATGGAATCCAGGGCTTCTGAACTGTTAGGCAAGCACTTTACCACTGAGCTACATGCCCGGCCTTATTGCACATTTTCTTTTTTTTTTTTTTTAGTTTAAATTAAAAAAAAATTTTTTTTTTTACATAGGTCTTGCTATGTAGCCCAGGCTGGCCTCAAACTCACACAGCAATCCTCCTGCCTCAGCCTCCTGCGGGCTAGGATGACAGGCACGTGCCCAACCTGGCCACACACCTTTCAGCTGACAAAGTGGGCAAAAAAGTGAAAACCTGTTCCAGGGGAGCCCGAGTACAAACTCTCGCAACAACTGAAACTGACAAACCAACCCAGAAATTGGGGAGGTAGTATCCAGGATATGCCCAGCCGATGGGGTCCTGATCTTCTGGTCCTCAGGTTTTCCGTAAGCATACATCAGTCATAAGGAAACATCGCTGTCCTGGGCCCCCGGACACCACCGGACACCAAGCAGATCTGGCTCCTGGGCCTCTATCTTCTGGGGTCTCCACCAGTTCAGACACCACAGACGATCACCTCTTCCCTAACCTGCAGAGCCGGCTAGAGTAAGGTGAGCACGATGCCAATCCTGCCTCCCCTACCCCGCGAGCTGGGGATCCCACCTCTGCCATAGCTCCAAGAACCAGGGTGCTGACCTCTGTGGGCACCAGGAGCAAGGTGGGATGCCCAGGCCCTCAGGGACATTCACGGCACCACGCAGGGCATGTGGAGCCCTCTCCCTCCCAGAGTCCTGGCCACAGCTGAGACTTCATCTCCTGCACACTCCCCAGGGTGCAGTGGGCAGAATCAGCTGGAAGAATGCAGTCTTAGAAAGAGCCTCAGAGTTCCCCAGATTTGTAACCAGTGTGACACCCTCGTCCCAATGGTGAACAGCTGAAGCTGTAGCCCGGGCACGGAGGGAACAGGAACAGCAGCCGCAGCCAGGGTCCCGTTGGGCCGTATCAGGTCTCTGTCAGAGTGCTCAGGCCGGGCAGGGGTCACGGCAGAGTAGCACCAGAGGAGGAGCCATGGGGCCTGCCGGGGCCAGCAAGGCCAGGCCAGACCTGAGCGGTTGCTTGCGGCTGCAAGCTCACACTGACCCCGTCTGGGCCCATGGCAGCAGTGGACGCAGGGTCAGACCATGGAGCTGGTGGGTCACCCAGGATGACAGAAACAGGACACGGAATCAGGAAGGATGACTTCCGAGTCGGAGCCACTGTTTCCCGGACAGCAGGCTACAGAAGGAAGCCAGCCAGGGGGGCATGGGCAGGACAGGAAAGCGGGTGTCCCTCGGCCCCCGCCCTGCTCCATCTCCACCCAAACCTGCTGTAGGACCTCAACTGCACTTCCTCCCTGGGACCCTCAGCAGCCTGGGCCATTCCCCGGAGCCCACCTCAGACAGAAGCATCAGCTGCCTCCTGCCTGGGGTGCCCACCTGCTCCCAACATCGGCACCCAGGCCCATGACAGCCTGCGGCTCTGCCCTCGGCCCCCGGACAGCAGCATACAAGACCACCCTCCTGTCCGGAACTGTCCTCTGGCTTCTTGGCCTTCGGACCACAGACTCCAGGCCCCAGGCTGAGCCCCATGGGAATCTCTCCCATGGGCTCTCCCTAGCCAGCCCTGCATTCTGCAGGCACCTCTGGTTCTGTTTCTGCTCTGCATCAGCTCCCTCCCTCTAGAGGACAAACTGCTTTGTTCACTGCCCAGCAAGGCTGGGGCGGAAGAGCTCCCGAGTTCAAGTTCTCACACGGCCCATGGTGCCACCACGGCTGGGGGACAGCCCAGTCCCACTGCCTCAGCACCTAAGCTCCTGTAATCAGCAGGTCACCCACGGAGACAGGCCACAGTCAGGAGGCCTCTGCGCAGCCCAGGCCTCCTGACCAGGCACCGGCATCTCAGTGCCTTCGTTTGTGAAAGCTGGCTGCGGCAGAAAGGAGACCTTCGGTTACACAGGCGCCATGGGCACTGAGGGGGCGCCAGCAGTCTGCAGAGCCCGGCAGATGGATGGTATTCACAGCCACACAAAGGACACAGCCGCCCACTTTACCAAACCAAATGCACAATGCTGAAAAGGCTTAGCTTTGGGATGTGGGCCCCATCGGCAGCACCTCCCTGCTGGCCTCTCCCACCTGTCCAGGCCACCACACAATGGAGGGGGTGCTCTGAGTAAATGTGACTTGATGGTTGCATGGAGTATGGGGTCAAAGGGCACCAGCTGGGCGGCCCTGGAGGCCGGGCTTCCACAAGGAAGGGAACCAAACCACAGGGCCACTTCTCACTGCCCACTTCTGCTCCGGAGCTGGGCTGTCAGCAACACAGGCTTAAAAATACTTGTGAAATGATTACGCTTTACACAGTGGACGAAAGCACATTTCAGCTCTGCCATCAAACACCTCCACTGAGCCTCTACCACGCTACCTGTCACGTGCTAATGGAAAGCCCACGGAGGTCCGCTTTGTGCCTGAGCATCGATCAGTCCTGTGAAATGATTACGGTGAAGGTCTAGGAGCCTCCAAGAGTTAGAGGAACACGGGAGAACTGTGTTTGAGGCCCTGAGCCCGGCTGTGACCTCTTCAGCCTCCCAGAGCCAGGGTAGGGTGGGGGCCCAGAACCTTCTTGGAGTACAGGCCCTTCCCACAGAGCAAAGGTATTCTTGGATACACTGCAAGCTCAAGTGACAAGTGTGGGACACGCAGGCCTGGGGACGAATTTAACCCGCACACCCACATGCACACCTGGCCAGGTGCTGCCAGACTCTAAGGTAACCCGCTCTACTTTCCCCTGGGGCTGTGCTGGAACCCAGGGCCTCAGCGTGCTGGGCAAGGGCTCACCCCCGACACAAGCCCCGCACCAGGCCTCTGCACTCCCACCATTTGGCCCAGACCAGATGTGACCTCAGTGCCCAGGGGACAGCATTAAGGTCGAGGTTAATGCAACCCTGTTAGTCTGTGCTGAAGCATCACAGGTGACGGACAAGATGAAAGTGCCTCCCAGAGTGGCCAGTTCCCACCCCTCTTAGCCTGGGCCACTCCCGCAGCACCATGGTGGGGGCACACTGCAGACTGGAGGGTCCTCTCAGCAAACCTCCCAGGGTCTCTCACACAGCCACATTGAGCTGAAGGGAGGGCACCCAGAGCCTGGCTGGCGTCCGACCCTGGTTAGCCACAGAGCAGCTGGTGGCAGGGACAGCAGGGAGCACCCTGACATGTTCCACCTTTTCCACCTCCTCCAGAGTGCTCAGCTCCTACACAGCCTCCCTGATGGCACCTCCCCAGATAGCTGGCCCTGTGGGGAGCACCTCCTGGTCCCTTTCACCCCAGTGGCTCTGTCCCAGTCAAGAAGACAAGAAAGCAGGTGTGTAGGGAAGAGCACTGGGGAGCACAGAGGCCAAGGCCACCGGCTGGCAGCTGGCACAGGGTGTCCTGTTCCCTGCCCATAGGAGCATACCTGGTGCCCATGTCCCAGCCAGTGCCCACCACACACCCACCAGGTGCCCTCCTCAGGGACAAAGGTGAGCCTGGGGGGCTCTGGAGTCACCCACACCTACACTCGGGCCTGTCCCTCTGCCACGTGACCCTGATTGACTCCATCTCGCTGTGCCTCAGGTAGCACGGCCCACAGTGCCCTCTGCAGGGTGACCCTCACAGCACTCCAGGTGTCCCATGTGTCACCACAACCTCTCGTCCCCCAGTCCCTCACAGAATTCTGGTGCCAACATTAGCCCTGTGCTTTGCTCCCCAGGGTGGCACAAAGGGGAGAAGACAGGCCCCAAGGGGACCCCAGGGGACACATGCTCTTCCTGGGACCCTCTCCACCCCAGACACCCTGTGCAGGCCTGACCAGGCCAGGGGTGGCAGCCCCACCACTGCCGGAGGAATGGCGGCAGCCGGCACTAAACGATTTTCAGGAACAGAGTACGTTTTGTTTCGCTGGGCACTCAGAGGTGACAGGCCTAAGCCAGGTCCACACAAATGCTCTAGTGACCTTTGGCTCACCTAACAGTGGATCTTTTGTTTGTTAAGTCATCTTATTTTCAAAAACTCAAAGGAAGCCCATGAAGAACTAGAGAGACTTCAACCCAAGTCTGAGGTAAACGCAAATGCCCAAGGTAGCCCACCTGGGACCACCCTCGCCTTCCCGCTCCCTCTAGCCGGCAGGTAATAGAGACAGGTGACACAGCCCTCTCCTCACGCAGGATCCTCACGTGGTAAACCCCTGGCAGCGACCATGCTGGTGTAGGCATGGCATGGCGTGGCTGGGGAGGCTGGCGGGATGCCATGTAAGGGTGGCTGGGAGAGGCACCCAAGGAGCCACAGCAAGGGGATTAAAACCACACAGCGGGGTTGGGGAGGAAAGGGCACCTCCTCCCTGAGCCACAACCCACACAGGGGAGACAGCACCAAGCACCAGGGGCTGCCACCCTTGAGGGAAGAGTTTCCCCCCACTGCCCAGGGGAACCAGGCACACACAGGTGGCAAAGACCCCATTCACGCAGGAGTTCCCAAACAAAGTCCTCTGGTGTGGAGGACACCAAGCAGAGCGTGCCCTGTCTCGTCTCCCGTCCTGTGGCCAGAAAACTCTGTGCTGGTGTCTTGCAGGTTTATTGTCCCACAGAACAGTGATCAGGACCTGAGCTCCACCCAGCAGCCCAGGCTGATGACCTGCATTTCTACCAGACCCCAGGTGACTCTGCTTTGCAAAGCCTGGCCCTAGAACTGGCTCTGGGACCCTGAGCAGATCACTCCTCAGTGCTGTGTTCTCACCGGAGGGTCCTCTGCCTTAGCAGCCCAGTCCCGCCCCTCCTCACTGCTCCTGCCTGTCAGGCCAGTTTCATTCTCAGCCTGATCTCAGTTCAG